ATGATAAAATTTAGAGTTTCTGTCACCCTCACAAAACCTGGTTTTATTAGCCTTTTGGGCATAGAGAGCCTCTTGCATGTTGATCAGGTCCAATAAGTTATCATTAGCTGACTAGAGGTCCATTTTAGACCCCATGTCAGAAGATAAGAGCTGTTCTAAATGCAAAACATTTTGTTCAGCTTCAAGGACTTTCTTATCTATGTTCCCCACCTCCTTCCAGTTCCAATTTGTGAGATGTTTGCTGACTTTTTTATGTAACATCCAAAGCTTGATACTTGGAATGTGATGGTGGACATCAATCCAGGCCTTGTCTACTTGATTAATAAAATCCCCATGCATTGACCACATGTTCAGATATCTGAATTTGGCTTTAGTTTTAGAGGAGGAAGAAGATATTTGGATAAGTAAGGGTATATATATATATATATTTAAACGATCGAACTAACATGAAAGAAGAAAGGAGAAAGAAACAAAACAATAAAAAAAGTCATATATCAAGTTATATATGTAGAATATATTGCAAGTTAGTTTTTTTTTAAATATTCAAATATTTTTTATTACAAATTTATGTTCGGACCCAGTTGCAATTAGAACATCGGTGCTTCTAAGAACAAGACTTTATTTCTAAAGTTTGCTGTTTTGAAACATCACGACGCATAGTATTTCTTCAAATATCTTCCATTAATAGGAAACATAGGTCGTTCTCCTTGACAATTTATCAATTGGTAGGCTTCTCCAAAGTAAACCCTTTCAACCACAAACGGTCCTTCCCAGGTTGGTTCAAATTTACCTCCTATCTTGCGATATGCAAGAATAGGTCCTCTAAGGACAAGAAGCAAATCACCAACTTTAAAAGTCTGGGGGTGGACCAATTTGTAATGTGCTTGAATCATCTTGGCTTGATACAATTCCAAATTTTGTAACGCTACCAGTCGTTTTCCTTCCAAATTTTCTAATTCTTCCAGTCGTAATTTGGCATTTTCTTCAGTAGTGATTTTGTTGGCAACGACAACTCTGAGAGGAGGAAGTTGAACTTCTAAAGGTAACATAGCCTCGGACCCATACACAAGAGTGTAAGGTGTAGACTGGGTTGGAGTTCTGAACATAGTTCTATATGCCCATAAGGCTTCTAATAACTACTCATGCTAATTCCTTTTGTTTCAGTCCAAGGTCTTTTTTTAGAATTTGGACGAGAGTCTTATTAAAAGCCTCGGCCAATCCATTAGCTTTCAAATAATAAATTGTAGAATAACGCCAATCTATTCCGTGCCTTCTGACAAAATTATTAATCTTCGTGCTTTTGAATGCAGACTCATTGTCTGAGATAATTTTGTGTGGTATTCCGAAATTGTAAACAATTTGGTTCTTAAGGAACTGTAAGACATGTTGTGCTTTTACTTCTCTCAACGGTATTGCTTCTGCCCGCTTTAAGAAGTAATCGGTAGCGGCTAGAATGAACCAATGTCCCTTTGAAGATGGAGGGTCTATAGGGCCCACCACATCTGTGCCCCAACATTCAAATGGCCATGACGCAACTGTCGGGTGTAACACATTTGGGGGGTGATGTAAGACCTCTCCATGTACTTGGCATTGGTGAGAACTTTTGGCAATTTTCATACAGTCGGTCATCATCACGGACCAGTAATATCCTAGTCTTTTAATTTTCATTTTCATCTTCAGACCTGGCTGATGAGCACCACAAAGCCCTGAGTGTACCTCTGGAATGATTTCTTGAGCTTCTGTAGCATTCAAGCATCTTAACCACATTTGGTCGAAACATCTTCGGTAAAGAACATTATCTATTACAGCATATGATAGTGCTCTCTTTTTTATTTGATATGCTACT